ATTCTGCCAAAACAAAGAATATCCTGCCATTTGTGACAACATGAATGAAATGGAGATTATGCTAAGTGAAATAAGCCAGACAGAAAGACAAATACAGTTGACCCTTGAACATGGGTTTGAACTGTGCAAGTCCATTTATACGCAGATTTTTTCAACCAAATGCGGATGAAAAATGCAATATTTGTGGGACACAAAACCCATGTATATGGAGGACCAACTTTTTAAAATTCATTCACAGGTTCTTCAGGGCCAAATGTGGGACTTGACTATGCACAAATTTTGGTATATATGGGGGTCCTGGAATGAATCTCCCAAGTATACCAAAGGATGACTATACTATAGGGTATTACTTATATGGGGAATCTTAAAAAAAAATCAAATTTATAGAAACAGAGTAGAATGTTGGGTGCCAGGGGCTAGGTAAAATGGGGTTGGTCAATGGGTACAAAGTTTCAGTTAAAAGATGAATAAGTTCTGAGGATCTAATGTATAGTATGGTGACTATAATTAATAATACTGTGTTGGATACTTGAAATTTGCTAACACAGTATCTCTTAAGTGTTCTAGCCAAAAAAAAAGTTACTATGTAAGGTGATGGATGTGTTAATTTCATTGGGCTTATCATTTCACAATGTATACGTGTAGTGAACATCAAACACATACAATTTTATTTGTCAATTATACTTCAATACAGCTGAAAAAACAAAAATAAAGTTTGTAAAACACATCTGATAAAGGAGTTGTATCAGAATATATTAACTCTCAAAACTTAAAAATTTTCAATAGGCAAAAGATTTGAACAGTTTACCAAAGATACACAGATGGCAAATATGCACTTCAGATGTTCAACAATATTAGTCATTAGTGAAATACTAATTAAAACCTCAAGACATAAAAGAAAAAATTACAAAAAAAAAAAAAAAACACCCACAAGACACTACTACTACACACCTATTAGAATGGCTAACATAAAAAAGATTGACATGTGCAGTAGTTCATGCCTATAATCCTAGCACTTTAGGAGGCCAAGGCAGGAGGATTGCTTGAGGCCAGCCTGAGAGCAAGACCCCATCTCTAAAAAAAGAAAAAAAGAAGCCGGCGCGGTGGCTCACGCCTGTAATCCTAGCTCTCTGGGAGGCTGAGGCGGGCGGATTGCTCAAGGTTAGGAGTTTGAAACCAGCCTGAGCAAGAGCGAGACCCCGTCTCTACTATAAATAGAAAGAAATTAATTGGCCAACTAATATATATAAAGAAAAAATTAGCCAGGCATGGTGGCGCATGCCTGTAGTCCCAGCTACTCAGGTGGCTGAGGCAGAAGGATTGCTTGAGCCCAGGAGTTTGAGGTTGCTGTGAGCTAGGCTGACGTCACGGCACTCACTCTAGCCTAGGCAACAAAGGAAGGAAGGAAAGGAAGAGAAGAGAAAAGAGAAGAGAAAGAAAATTAACTTGGTGTGGTGGCACACACCTGAGCCCATGAGTTTGAGGTTGCAGTGAGCCATGATGAGGCCACTGCACTCTAGCCCTGGCAACAGAAGGAGACTGTCTCTCAAAAAAAAAAAGGACTTAACAACCAAGTGTTGTTAAGGATGCAGAACACCTGGAAGTCACATACATTGCCAGTGGAAATTCAAAATGGTACAGTCTCTTCAGAAAACAATTTGATAGTTTTTTATGAAGTCAAAACCAATACCTGCCATACAACCCACCCACTCCTAAATAATTTACTCACAAGAAATGAAAACATGTTCACAAATATTTGGAGTGGCTTTATTATTGCCCCAAACTGGAAGCAACCCAACTGTTCTTCAACTGGTGAATGGGTAAACAAATTGTGATATGGAATATGAATACCTAATGGAATATTACTCAGCAATAAAAAAGATAAAACTACTGATACACACTGCAACATGGATGAATCTCAAATGTACTATGACAAGTGAGGAAGTCAGATGCAGGCTATATACTGTATGATTGATTCCATTTACATGACATTCTGAAAAAGGCAAAACTATAGTAACAAATAGGAAATCAGTGATTGTTAGGACTGGGGGATAAGAGGAGAGAGTGGCTATAAAGGGGCATGAGGGAACTTTCTGGGGTGATGGAAACGTTCTATATCTTAATTGTGGTAGTGGTTACATGTCTGTATGTGTCAAAACTCACAGAGGAGAAGTCTATGTAAATGATACCTCAATAAACCTAACTTTAAAAATAAATCAAAAAGTAAAATTATTCCTCTTTTAAAACAATACTTTGAGAGGGTCAAATATAATAATCATGCACAGAAGTTAGTAGAGATCGCATAAGCATGCTCAAGACTCAAGTTTATTATGTTATTATTATGACAAAGCCACTTGTCATTGTATACTCAATCTTTATATAATTTTAAATTATTTTTATTCTTTGACAATTTATATTCACAATTTAAAGACAGGAAGTACAGTATCTGTACCCCCCACATCTGTGGGTTCCACGCCTGTGGATTCAACCAACCTCAAATGGAAAATATTAAAAAATAAAAAATAATGCACCAATAAAAATACATATTAATTTACATTGTATTAGGTATTTTAAGTAATCTAGAGATAATTTAAAGTACACAGGAAGATGTGTATAGGTTATTTGCAAATCTATGCGATTTTATTTATTTTTGAATTTGTTTTTACAGACTGGGTCTTGCTCTATCACTCAGACTGGAACTCTAGGCTCAAGCAATCCTCCAGCCTCAGCCTCCCAACTAACTGGAACTACAAGCAAGTGCCACCACACCTGGTTAATATTTCAAAAATTTTTATAGAGATGGGGTCTATGTTGCCCAGGCTGGAGTGCAGTGGCTACTCACAGGCCTGATCATATGACACTGCAGCCTTGAACTCCTAGGCTCAAGTGATCCACCCACCTCAGCCTCCTGAGTAGCTGGGGCTATAGTCATGTGCCACCACCCAGCCTACCATGCCATTTTATATAAGGGACTTGAGCATCCAAGGATTTTGGTATCCTTGAGGGATCCTGGAACCAATCCTCTACAGACATCAAGGAACAACTGTATAATGAACTCTGCCTACCCTGTATTTCTCTCTTCTCCAATAAACTTCATGAGGATGGAGATTCTTCTCTGTCCTATTCACTGTTATAACCCCAGCATCTAAAAGCGGTACCAAGTAGGCACCCAAATACTTAATAAATAAATAGTGTTAAAATATACTAATAACAATTCTCCATTTACTTTTTTATTTGCTGAGATTAAAGCTTATTCACAACTGAAATTTGTTGTTTTCAGAGAAGTATTTACAAAACATACCCTTAAGTCTTCTCCTTTATTTAACCATTTAAAACAAAACACAATTTACAAAAAGATTTTGTTTCATAAAGTACAAAATGTAGCAATTCAAACACTGGAATTTGGAAGTTGTTTTTGTCTCTCACACCACAACATCAGTTAATTATAAATTACATGTATACAATCTCACAGAGCCCAGCATAATTCACTTATAATTCCGACAAAACATGCTTTTTTCTTACATAACTTAAAGTAAATAAAAACATCACTTTTCAAAGTAAAATAAGTCAAAATTTATCTCAAAAGTACATTGGTACTTTGAGATGGGAGTCTCTGCCTACCTCCTCATTTGCTGGCAAATTAAAAAACTCCTCTTTCCTTCTCCTAAAAAATAATTATCTTGATATATCATGAATATTAATAACATAATTTTAAAATATAACTTTTAACAATGTTCTGATCTAAAATAAAGTATGTTACTTCAAAGTTTTTCATCATATATCATACTAAATGACAAAAAGATCTTTTAATTTCCTGAAGGGATTCAAGAGAGTCTTTACTATCGTGAAAGGCACCCACAGTTCAAAACATTATCTATACTACATGATTTCACTTATGTGGTATCCAGAGTAGTCAAATTCACAGAGACAGAAAGTAGGATGGTAGTTGCCAGGAGGTTGGGGGAGGGCTTATAGGGAGTTAGTATTTAATGGATATGGATACAGAGTTTCAGTTTCAGAAGATGAAAAGTTTCTGGAGATGGCTGGTGATGATTTTACCACAGAATATGAATGTACTAAATGCCAGAGAACTATACTCTTAAAAATGACTAAGATGGTAAATTTTACATTATGTATATTTTATCACTACACAAAAAAATTATCTAGTCCAACCCCTCCTCATTTTACAAATGAGGTCCAAGTTCACACAGCTACTCAATTACAAAGACAGAATTAATCTCTAACTCTATTTCCACAAACAACACTGCCCCTAAATTCCTTCTAGGCTTTAATAAAAATATGAGACACTACCAGAGACAGAGTGCCTAAAAAGTTAAGTGGTCATAAAAAAGACAAAAACTGTATAAAAAAATTTATAATTATAATTAAAATTGGCAGTCAGATAGGATTTTATTTTATGCCATTTTTTATTTTTCAGAGACAGGGTCTTGCTTTGTTGTCTGGGCTGGAGATCATAGCTCATCACAGCCTCAAACTCCTGGCCTCAAGCTATCCTCCCACTTCAGCATGTAGAAGTGCTGGGATTACAGGTGTGAGCCACCATGCCCAGCCACCCATATGCATTTTTATATCTGCCTTATTCCTACATCCATTTTATGCCTCTTCTTGTTTTCCTTTTCCCTTAATACTTTTCTCTAATTTATGTTCTTTTTGTTCTATTTTACGTATCTTTGTAATGCTCACGTCCTCTTTAAAGCAAGATTGAAGATAAATAAATGAAATGTAGGACAATTGCAAATAAGTCAACAAGAATAAGTTAAATTATATCTTGTGTACATGACCTACAAAACAAGAACAGTACACAGAACACTGCAGAGTATTTTTCATTAAAAATAATTAAAGTGAAAATTTGGTCTTTTAGAAGGCTAATTCTCCAATGGTATAAAAGATTTATGATTTAAAGGTAAATAATCACGTAAGTATGCCTACTTCTTTTAAGCACAGAGATCTGTACAGAAATACATTTTCAAAGCAGTTACCTTGGAAACCACTTGGCATGTTCTACCCACGGATCATCTCCAGATTCCCAACACCTCAAGCCACCATCACAACAAAAGCATTTGACATCATCATTGCGACCTAAAGGAGGGGAAAAAAGGACCAGAAATTGGATGAATATATGTTTTAACATGTAAATCAAAACGAACTAGATAAAATGTATAGCTATTAATTAGTTCCTTACCCACATAATAAAAACCAGCACTTGCAAGCTGCTCAGGCTGAACTGGAACAATAGACGGCCAGCACATAAATGTTCTCATTCGAGCTGCATGTGTCTGCATGCTCAGATTGGAAATGCTAAACCTCAGTGTTTCTAGAGAATTTTCCAAAAACGGACAGTTGGGAAAATGTCTCCGGTGTTCTGACATAGCATCATCCTTTGGTTCCCAGTTACTTAGCTTTCCACCACAAGCAAAGCAGGCTACCCTATCTCCGGGTCCTATATAATAAAAACCAGCTCTTGCCAAATCTGATGGTGACAAAAAGGTTAATGGCCATGTATGGTAAGTAAGAAATCTGGCTTCTTCCGTACTCATTGCGTAGCTGTAGGGGTTAGTCCTCAATGGAGAGAAGTCTTCGACTGCTCTAAAATTAAGAGGGTTTGGTGAAAGGTTGGAATAAGAACCACTGAATGAGCCACTATGTTCCAAAGTGGGAGATAATGATTGGGCAAAACTGTTTCTCATCGGAGAAGTATTCTTAGAGGTGGATCCCATGCTAGATGAAACCAGATTCTGAATAAAGCTACAGCTAGGATATAGTTGTTTATGCTTTTCAATAGGATTGTCTCCTTGTTTCCAGTTATCCAGCATCAGACCACAACAGAAGCATTTGACCTTGTCATTCACACCCGTGTAATAAAAACCAGCACGAGCAAGACTCCTTTCTGAGACAGGAACACCAGCAGGGAAAGTTGAATATGTAGACATTCTGTAGAGTTCACATGAAAAGTCATACTTCATTTTTTGTTTGCTGCCATTTGTCCAATTTGACAAGATAGGGCTATCTTCCATTATACTCTTAATTTTTTGATAAGAGGGACCTGGGACAAGTCTTGGAGAGGTAGTTTTGTGCATGAGTAGGTGATAGCACTGTTTGATGGCTAAAACCTTCACATGAAATTTCCTATCTCTTCACACTAAATTAGATTTTTACTACAAAAAGGGAATCAAATTATAGACTCTTACTTAAATAGAATTCACGATACCTTCTTTACTGGATTTACATGAGTTTACACTTAGGTAGAATGAAAATCTCTCCTCAATTACCAAGATACTACTTAGACCTCCTTAGGGATTATAATAAACTCTTTTAGATAACTCAAATGATATTCACTCACAATTTGGCATAAAACTAACCTAAAGGCCTGAGAAAGTTGATCCACTTCTGAAAATATGTTAAAATGCTTTGATTTTTCTAGGAGCTTTATATTCTCAAAATTCTAAACATCTATAGAATACCAATTTATGCCTTTAATTTACTTTGGGTTATAAGCTATGAAGCCTGGATATATATCAGGCCAATTACTGATTATGCCACAAGAATAAAAAATTGTATGCAGCCTTCTTTCCCTAAAAGCACTTTAATACATTCCCCCCAAAATCTCATTTTTATAGTAAGCAAAAGTTATTAAAGTCTTCATATAGTCACAATATCTAAAAGCTAATTTCATAGAGCTTATCATCACAGTATTTATTTAAGTGGGTTACATTAGCTTCAGTTAACTTTTGGGGAAGTCAACATCCACAACCTTTGTTGAACCTGTGCCTAGTAAAGTGTATATGATGTTAATTTTGCTTGAAGTTCACAAACTGTAAACTCTTTCATCCTTGTTAAATATTATCTATATTTTTTTCCATTTCCTGCAGCAACATTTAGTCTTCCTAACTTTGTATATACCACTTTATTATACTTGATTGGCTGAAGGTATTTTTGCCATCAACTTAACTAGTTAACCATAAAATTTCCATAGCACACACTTTTTATACTGCATTTAAAAACTGAATTTAAAAAACCTGAATAACCTGTTCTACATTTAAGGACCATTCAGCTCAAATATCAGTCATACTGTAATTAAAGATGAATCAATTTATCAAAAGATACAGGCTGTCCTTTCTAGTGTTATAAAAAATTCCTAACAAAACATTGTATTACCAACAGAATTACTGCTTAGCATAATGACCCAGTAATTAACTCTTCTAGGCCTCTTTCTGAAAACTCTTCGATATTTTTAAGATGTAATTTATACACAAAATTACACTCCACAGAATTCAAGCTATATCCCTTTATAAAGTTGCAGCGTCTCCATAATGGGATTTATTACTGCAGGGGGAAAAATGGGAAGGAAAAAGACTCTTCAGGGCTGTAAATCTGAAAAGAAAGAACAAAACGTATTTTAGAAAATTGTATTTGCGTGGCAAATAGAACTCACAGACTATTCAATTTATTCAGTAAAGTCTACAAATGATTTACACTTTATATAGTACATCTTAATTTCAGCACTTTGTCACCAAAACCTCCTACCTGAAAAAGCTTTTAATTAAAATTAAAAATGCAAGATACTCCCGTAACACTAATATACATGTCTTTAAAATGCACAACTTTAAAGACAGATGGACACTTCCACGCAGGAAAACATTTGGTCCTTGGTCTCCTACCCTTTTCTGATGTAAAGGTATCTCTGATACTTTGCTGGAGTGACAGTGGTTTAAAAAAAAAAAGAGCCTCCACTACACCCAGTCAGCAACAATACAGGAACGTTATTTCTTAATGTCAAGTTTCTCCATGACTAGGCAAACTGCTGTAAAATGCACCAGGACTTATCAATTTAAACTCTACCATTCCTTCACAATTCCAAAGCAACAACCACTGAAAGCAACTCGAAAACAAAACATAAAGCAAAGGCTTGTGAAACAGTTGCCCTGGCAATAATGACCACCTGCGTGATTGCTTTAATTACACCAGGTCTTGTATTTTTAAATTATAGACTTTTATCTACAAATACCGTACTGTTGATTTTGCTCTCTCTATGCAATCTGTAGCTGGGCAGAGCATAAACTGGAAGGGAAAAGACGAGAAACTATGGCATTTACCTAATAATTTCCCAGAGTTATTTCTCACTACACAAACCAGACGACTACTAGAGCGACAGAGCGCAGTTGGAACCGTCTGAAATATGAGATCCTACAACCACAGAAATGTCGCCAATATGTTAAAGGAATGCCGAGGACTGAGTTTTAAATCTCGCAAAAGAGCCAAGAGAAAAAAACATCTTGGTCATAGTCCAAAGGCCAGAAAAGTGGGCGGCGGCCGGAGTGGGCTTGAAAACAAGTCATTTTTTTTAAAAAATCACTTTCGGTTGCAAGTCTTGAAGTTGGCGTTTCCTAACTAAATAAAAACCTCGGCGAGAGTAGAAAGCGGAGAGCCCCTGGCGACACTGGACCGAAGGACCCCAGGCCCTGTCCTTCCAGGCCGGGGTCGCAGCCCCAGGGAGGGGTGTTCCCGCGAGCCCCGCCGTCCCAACCCGCCTCGCGCCGCCCGGCCCCGGAAGGAGCCGCACTCACCGCAGAGCCGGCGCAGCAAACACGGAAGCTGCGCGGCTGCCTGGAGACCTCCTCAAACCGGGGACGCAGCGGCGCCCACAGGAGAAGCGGCCCGTGAGGCTGTGCTCCGGCGCTCCCGAAGCTCCCAGCCCCAGCCGAAGCCACGCCGACGCACAGTGACGTCAGCGCGCCCGGCCGGGGACCCGCGTCAACCGCAGCGCGAGGGCGCCCGGGAGTCTGCTGCCGGAAAGCGGAACCCGGGGTGCGTTCTGCTGTCGGGAGACGCCCGGAGGCCGGGGAGCGCCCACCCGGAGTTGCGCGGGCGTCCCATGGGGACAGGCACACTATCCACATCCACTCTTTGTTTCGTTTTTTAAACCCGGCTGTTTGTGCACCCTTAACATTTCCCTCTGTCTGTCCCTAACATTCTCTTGAGAGAGGACGTTGCCAACCGTGAGCCGTTGCGTTTGAATCTTGGGAAACCCTGCGGACACGCCCTGGCGCCGAGGGTTTTGCGCCTCCCCTGCGTCACTTCAGAGTTCTGGTCCAGCCCCTGTCAAAACTCTTCTAGTGTGAAGCCTCCACGCGTCCGAAATGACCGCATGTGAGGATGCAGTCAGTCTGGTGGCGTTTTTTTGCTGCAGTTAGGTGAACAGTTGTAACCGTTTTTTTTTTTCTCAGCGCGCTCCAACGTCGTGTCAGCGTTCCACAGCTGGCGGCGCAAATGCAAAACGAAGCGTTGGAAAGTAGGACAGCATCAGAAGATTAATTTTGAAGACTTGATGTGTTTTCGAATCAACCAGTGTATCTTTTGTTTTTAAACTTTTGGTTTTCAGTTCTGGAAACACACAGTAACAGAGGCTCCTTCAAATGCACATGGCTACCAACGTAAAGGGTATTTCAGGCCAGGCTTCACTCCCAGGATTTTCTGAATGTTCGAGTAAAATGGAATATATAAATTGGTGTGCGAGTGCACACAAATACCATTGTATATGAACCACGTAGGAGCCCACTTACAAAAAAATTTTTAAACAGTTAAGTGAAAGAAAATTTGTAAATAAAAATCCTTTGCTTTACTGATCATGGACCTTTATAGTCGGCTGTCTGCTTTGGTAGTGCCGCAGACGCAATGACATGTAAATATTGTATTGCAATGAACGAATTTTCCAATTTACATTCTGTGAAGACACTCTTTGCCAATAAATCAGATGCCTGATTCTCTCTGGGGAACTCCAGGGGGGCAAACATTTAAAAAACTTCCAAATAAGCCACTTAATTAAGCAGCCAGGGGAATTCCAGGACCCTGAACCATTTCCCATTTCCTGTCGGTGTCATTTCTGCCTGCCAGTCAGTCACAGAACAGGAGGTCTTCTGTTCAATGTTAATAGTCAAAGCATTTGTAGCTGTTTGTGATATGCAGCGGAGAAAAAATGCCATGGCTCCCAATGACTAAAAACTTCCAAAAATGCACATGAGTCTTGGTAGTAGTTCAGTATTTAGTTCAAGTCACTGTTTCTCGGAAAGTTACAGAACATTCCTAACACATATGGGAAAATACATATAGCAAGAATGTTCATTCTGAACTCAAGGTTATTTCTCTTTTTCAGTTCTTATCCTGACCGAAAAAGTAAGGTAATGATTATACTTCAGTGTAGGGGAAATTTTGCATTTCAAAAACTCAAAAGCGTTAGATATTTTTCCCAAAAAAGAATATAATATCATTCATGTATAATAGTACCTTATAACATTTGATCTTCTATAACCTTGTAGTCTAGTGTTACATTTATCCAGTTAATTAGTTATCCATTTATTCCGTTTTGAGTATTTTTTAAAATTATATTGCTAGTATTGAGTTGCTGGTAATTTTTTAAAATAGGCTATATATGTAATGCTGAGGTCACTATTCTAATATTATTCATATTTAGAAAAAATATTTACAAGATCCAAGACAATTTTGAAGAAGAAAAATAAAGTTGAAAGAACTTGTCTACCAGGTAGCAAGTTGTATACAAAAGCCATAGTAATTGAGACAGTCTTGTATTATTAAATGAGCAAGGATGGGCAATTAAAGGAAAAAGACAAGAGCTCAAAAATAGAGACCCATATATAGGCATATAAGAACTTGATACATGGCCGGGCGTGGTGGCTCACGCCTGTAATCCTAGCACTTTGGGAGGCTGAGGTGGGCGGATTGCTCGAGGTCAGGAGTTCAAAACCAGCCTCAGCAAGAGCGAGACCCCATCTCTACTATAAATAGAAAGAAAATTAATTGGCCAACTAATATATACAAAAAATTAGCCGGGCATGGTGGCACATGCCTGTAGTCCCAGCTACTCGGGAGGCTGAGGCAGAAGGATTGCTTGAGCCCAGGAGTTTGAGGGCTGACGCCAAGGCACTCACTCTAGCCTGGGCAACAAAGTGAGACTCTGTCTCAAAAAAAAAAAAAAAAAAAGAACTTGATACATGACATTGTTATTGCATATTAGTGAGAAAAGGATTAATGAAAGTAATGCTAAATGAATGGTTATTCTAATGGAAATAAAATTAGATCACTATTTTATACTATTTTTTAAAATCCTGGTGGATTAAAAACAATAAAAACCCTTAAAAGTGAATAGCCATTCTTATGGAACCCAGGGACTTAAATTTGGTGAGTTGCAATGCATACCAGTTACTATCACTATTAGTGCTCAAATTGTTTTATTTTAGGCCAATAGGAGCTTATTCAGATTAGCTCCTGAGCCTTTTTGAAATGGCCCTAATAGTCTTTGATTACTTTCCAGACTCTCTTTGTATATATATTACCCTATACCCATAATAAGTCATTTCTCTAAAGCACACTGGATCCTTTAGTAGGAAATGGTATTTAAAGACCATAATCTGAATGTTTGTCATGCTAATTGTTAATGAGTTCTGTCGTTTCTATACCTGTTGTGCTGACAGACTGGTTAATAGGACTTTGTCTTGTCTTGTTTTTTATTTTTGTAATAAAATATGTCATGAATTTGTATTGATACTTAAAATTCAAATTCAGTAAGTCAAGGTTTTATTTAACTTCTCTGATTGTACATCTGTAACTTTTTTCCTTTACTCGGAAAATCTGTATTCTCCTCTCTAATTCTGCCCCATGAGTAATGACTTAAACACTTTTTATGATTCATTTTTAAGTTATGTATATTTATATCTGCCCTTTTCTTAAACAGTAGCATACTTTTTTCTACCTTTTTTCACTTAATAATCCTAGAGCCCACTCAAAACTAGTATATAGAGATAGATATTTATCATTTCAGTATAGTAATCCATTGTGTAGATGTACCATAACATATTCAACTTGAACAATTTAATTCCAAAAACAGCCAAAGACTGAGAAGCCAACCTGAATAAACTACCCCTAGCCTAAGATAAAACTAGTACCGTATTATATTCAGCTGCTTCCCTGTTGCTGGACATCTGGGTGATTTCCAGTCTTTTGCTCTTACAAATAGTGCTGTGATGAATAGTCATGGACATACATCTTTAGATATATTCCTAGAAATTGGGTTGTTAGTTAAACCAGTAAATTCATATGTAATTTTGCTGGATATGGCCAAATACTTTTCCATGGGGATGTTGGCATTTTGCAATCCAACTAGCAATGTATGTGAGTGACTCTTTTTCCCACAGCTTCACCAATGGAATAAGTTGTCAAACTTTGGATTGTTGCCAATTGGTTAAATAAGAAATAGTATTTCGGTGGAGTTTTAATTTAATTGCTCTGTAATGAATGAAATTAAAAATGTTTTCCTATGCATCGATTATATATGTAATGTGTTATTTACTTTTTAAAAAATTAAGCAAGCATAAAAGAATGTTAGTGTTGTTTGTATGGTATTGTTAAAGAAAAAAATATTCTGACACTGGTTGAAATAGTAAGGAAGACTATGCAGGACTATGCAATTAAAGTATTGTAATAGGAAAGAGAGATTGGGCTTAATTTGAAATACAGCAAAGGCAGCTGGGGATTTATAACCAACAAGCAGAGTGAGGAGGGTCAATGGATAGGAAAGTACTAAGAAGTGACATCAAGGACAAAATTCTTGCTGAAGGCTGGCAAAGGACTTATACAATGAGAGACTTGATCAGATATCAAGGGTGATCAGATATCAAGGTTGGGAGAGATCCTAACTTGACTTAGCAGGATTCTTGCTAAAACTAAGGTAGTTAGGCAGGTTACAGGTAGGGTAGGAGTTGGGCTCAAGGTCCAGGCCTAGTTGAGAAGAGGGCTCAGAGGAGTTGACTAAAGTTTTGTCAAGGAGAAAGTCTTTTAATTACTTAATAAGCATCCCAAGCATTACCTTTTCATCTGTTGGGGGAAAAAAAATCACTTTATGTTTTTGTGATAAGACTTTGGATTTTTCTTTCATAAAACCTTCCATTAGAGTTTTAGACTAGAAAGAATCTGATAGCTCACTTGGTTTAATCAATTTATTATATATATGAGGACTCAGCCAAAGTAACTGCCAAAATATTTTTACATTGAGAATCTGAACATACATGACAGCTTTAACATTTTGATATCTGTATCAAAAGTCAGGTTTTTTTTAATTTACAGAAATATTAAAGGCTTAATTAGTAAATGATAATCATTTTGTAAATATAAATCATTAACATAAATTAGAATCTCAGCAACACTAGTTTCAAAAATAAATGAGTTAAAAGGTAGAATGGAGGCCAGGCAAGGTAGCTCACACCTGTAATCCCAGCACTTTGGGAGACTGAGGCAGGAGGATGACTTGAGGCCAGGAGTTTGAGATCAGCCTGGACAACATGGTGAAACCCCCATCTCTACAAAAAATTTAAAAATTAGCTGGGAGTGGCAGGGCATACCTGTAGTCCCAGCTACTCGGATGCTGAAGTGGGAGGATTGCTTGACCCCAGGAGTTTGAGGTTGCAGTGAGCTATGATGACACCACTGCACTCCAGCCTGCA